CCCGGGCTGTGCCGAGCCCCGGGCTGAGCCGAGCCCCGGGCTGTGCTAAGCCCCGGGCTGTGCTGAGCCCTGAGCCGAGCCCCGGGCTGTGCTGACCCCCGGGCCGAACCCCGGGCTGTGCCGAGCCCCGGCTGAGCCGAGCACCGGGCTGAGCTGAGCCCCAGGCTGTGCTGAGCCCTGAGCTGAGCCGAGCCCCGGGCTGAGCTGAGCCCCAGGCTGTGCTGAGCCCCGCTCCCCCTGCAGCTGGAGGCCCGGCGGGCCCTGAACGAGGCGGTGTGCGCGGAGCTGCGCGCCCGGATCCTGACGCTCTGGGAACGGCTGCAGATCCCGCAGGAGGAGAGGGAGTCCTCGGCCGTGCACCTGGCTGGCTCCAGAGTCCGAACCAGGAGAGCTGTAAGAGCCCTGCTGTGCTCACGGGGCAGGGCTGGGGCAGCAGCTCGGGCACTCTCGTGCTCCTGGTTGCTCGGTGAGGGGAGCAGGGCAAATTCTGCCTTCGTGGAGGGAGGAGCTGGAGGTTGGTGCTGGCAGCTGCCTCATTCCAGAGAGCGGCTCACGCAGGAGATGAACCCTGTCCTCCCCCTCTTCCTCCTTATCTGTGCTCTGTCCGGGGCCAGCTGCAGCAGGAAGTGGACCGTCTGGAGGAGCTGAAGCTGCAGAACATGAAATCCATCATCCATGCAATCCGGGCAGAGCTGGCTGTCTACTGGGACAAATGCTTCTACAGTCAGGAGCAGAGGGAAAGGTTCAGCCCCTTCTATGATGGTGGGTGCTGGCTGGCCATGCAGATTTGGGGAGGGATCCCAGGGCTTCCAGCAGCCCCCGACCTGGCTGTTGTGCCCTTCCAGAGGATTACACAGAGACCCTGCTCAAGCTGCATGACGCTGAGGTGGGCAAGATGAAGACCTGCTATGAAACACACAAAGATCTGTTTCAGGCGGTTCAGAAGTGGGAGGAGAGCTGGAAGCTGTTCCTGGAGCTGGAGGTATTTTCCAGGCAGGAGCATGTGGGGTCATGGGACAGTGTGTACCTCTGCTCCCGTGGGACAGCGCTCTGGGAAGGAGCAGGGAGCCACTGGGAAGTCATGGTGGGCCAGAGCAGGGACGAGGTGCTGTGTTTCGAGCACTGGGGTGGTTGTGCAGGGCTGCCTGCTCTGGAGCCTTCACCACGAAAGGCTGAGGGGACTGGGTGGTGTGTTTGTGTCTCTCCTGCCTACCCTTCTCTACCAGAGTAAAGCAAATGACCCCAGTCGCTTCACCAATCGAGGAGGAAGCCTTCTGAAAGAAGAAAAGGAGAGAGCAAAGCTGCAGAAGACGCTGTCCAGGGTAGGTCCAGCCCTGGGGAAGGACCTGTGGTCCCACTGACACAGGAAAAGGGGTCCTTGGGTGTGGGGACACCTTTGGGTGTGGGGACACCTGGGTTCAGGGCAGCACCTACACTGCCCTCATGTCCTGATCAGCTGCAGGAGGAGCTGGAGAGGAAGGTCCAGAGCTGGGAGGAGGAGTTCAAGGAGGCTTTCCTGGTGAAGGGGCAGCAGTTCATGGAGTATGTGGCAGAGCGGTGGCAGCAGTACCATCTGGAGAAGGAGAAGGAGAAGCAGGAGCGGGTGAGTACAGAGCTGAGCACGCTGGCTCCTGCCTAATGCCAGCCTAGGGGTGTCCTGCTGGGCCCCAGCCACTGCCCTGGGCTCTGCCAGCTCATTCCCAGCTTGGAAGCAGCAGGCAGTGGGGCTGGTGCCCGCTGCTGTCACACCTGCGAGGGCCGAGCCCCTTTCTGGCCCCCGCTGTGCCAGAGGTGACGCTTGGCTCTGCACACCTGTAAATCCGTGCTGCAGTTCCTGCTGCGTGGCTGTGCCGGCTGCCAGCAGGGCAGTGCCACTGGCAGTGTCAGGGGCACGCAGCGGTGCTCGGAGTGTGAGTGCAGGCGTGTCCCACAGCACCTGAAGAAGAGCCGGGAGATGGAGGCGGAGATGCTCTACGGCAGCGCCCCACGGACGCCCATCAAGCGCCGCGTGCTCAGCCCCCAGACGCCCGCCAAAGTAAGCAAGGTAAAATGTCCCTGCAGAGCAGTGGGGTGGGCTGGGTGCCCCGAGCAGAGCTCTCTCCGCAGGGCTGGGCACAGCCTCGGGCTGCCCTCGGCCCCGTGGGAAGGCAAGGTGTGGCGTCCTGCGTGACGCGTGCTCTGCCTCCTGCTCAGCTCCACGGCACCTCCAGCGCCAGCACCGCCTCCAACACCACGGTGCGCTCAGCCTTGGCAAGAGCCATCTGCCACTCGCCCACCTCGCGGCTGCCGCCCTCCGGGAAGAAGGTGAGGGCTCTTGGGGGGCTCCCTGCCCGGGGCTGGGCTGCAAGGGACGGCTGAGCTGAGGTGCTGCAGCTCTTCTTGCTGTCACCCCGTGGTTCACCGCCTCCCCTGCTGAGCTCGTGGGGCACAGAAGCCCCTGTTTGTCTGCAGTCTGCTCTGTTGGGGCTACGGCCATCCTGCTGGGGTGTTTCTGGGACCTGAGGGAGGAGGAGGAGGGTGCCAGAAAATCTTCCTCCAGCCCAGATTTCTAGTACCACTGTTCCTTAGTGCTGAGCCTGCAGCTTGAGGGACCTTCAAAATGCGTGTGTGCTGCCAGACAGGGCTGAGCATCCTTGTCTAGTGAGCGGCACCCTGCCTACAGCAGGGCGGTGGAACGAAATGGGCTTTCAAGTCCCTTCCCACCCACATCCCTGCAGGATTCTGTCATTGTGTGCTGTATGTTTCAGGGTCCAGAACTGGACCCCAGAGTCTGGAGAGCTCCCGGAGCCTGACGCTGCTCTGGCTGCTCAGACTGATGGGCACTGCAGCTGCCACAGCTCTCCTGCCTCTGCTCAGCCCCTCAACTGTCCCCCCTCCCCACAGATCAGCCAGGCTCGGACCCCCGTCCGCGCGGCAGCGAAGCCCCCCCGACGCAGGCTGAGGGAGCAGAACAAGGAGAACGTGTCCCAGCTGGACGGAACCACCCGGAGCGGTGGGTGCACCCCCAGAGCCCCCGCCCAGCGTAACCACAGCGTTAGTTCTGTTGCCAGCACCTATTCCGAGTTTGCGGTAATTCACCTCTTCTAACCCCCCCGTCGCTGCACAGCACGGGACCTTGGCTCCCCCCGTGTCCCCCCCGTGTCCCTCCCGTGTCCGCTCGCGGGGGGCTGCTCCTGCCCTGCCTGTGGCTCCGCATGGACAGCTTCTAACAGAGTTGGTGGCAGAGGGCCCTGAGCACGAGGGGGGCTTTCCTCTCCCAGGGTGGGGGACTCAGCAGGCCCTGGACAGCCTCTGTCCTCCCATCAGGCCAGGCTGAGCCAGAGCTTTACCACTGCGCGACACTACCGGAAGGTTTTTGCTCTTTATGCATTTTAGACCTTAATGTTCATTGGTTACAAGTTGCAAAGTTCCTGTATTAATTTGTATTCCATCTCCCTTTGGCAGCCTGGCCTGCCTCTCTCTGTCCCCTCTGAGCTGTGAGGCTGCAGCGCCCTCCCTTCCCTCATCCCTCTCTTGTTTCCCCACTTCTTGTTTCCACAGCGCCAGCTTTCACAGGCTTCCCGCTTTGAAAGCACCTCCCGTGTTCTCAACTCCACCACCAACAACGCCGCGTGACGCAGCCCTGCTCCGGCAGCAGTAGAGGGCCTGCAGCACCTCCCGCTCCGCATAGCGCTCCCGTCGCTTGTTTTAAAAATGTGCTTTTGTTTAAAAAAAATTTCTATGTTGTGAATAAAGTATTTTTAGAGCAACAGCCTCGCGCGCGTCCGGGGGGGGTCTGGCAGCGAGGGGCGACGGGAGGGGCGGGGCAACCGGGCCCGCGGGGCGTGGCCAGGGGAGTCTCAGCCAATCAGAAACCGGGCTCAGGCTGCAGCTTTTTCGGCCGAGTCCAGCAGCCCCAGTTTGTGTCCTGATTGGCCAAACTGCAACTCCGCGGCCTGATTGGCCGAAAGGGACGGGCCTTCAATCCGTGCGGTGATTGGCCAAACGGGGAGCAGCCCAATCATTTCCTGATTGGCTAAAAAAAAATAAAAATAAAAATTTAAAAAAAATAAAAAAAAAAAAATCCCTGCACTTTCAATCCGCATCCGGATTGGCTGAAGAAGCAGTCCAATCCGAATCCTGATTGGCTGAAAACCTAGCGCTGCCAGCTGTGTCCTGATTGGCCGAACAGGATGAAGCGCCGATCCTCTCCGAGCCTGGAGCGGCAGCGAAAAACCGGCCCGAGTCCCGAGCGTGCCGAGCCGAGCCAGAGCCCGGCCCGAGTCCCGAGCGTGCCGGGCCGAGCCAGAGCCCGGCCCCAGTCCCGAGCCGAGCCAGAGCCCGGCCCCAGTCCCGAGCGTGCCGAGCCGAGCCAGAGCCCGGCCCCAGTCCCGAGCTGAACCAGAGCCCGGCCCCAGTCCCTGACCAAAAGGGATTTTTCTGCCGAGTAAAAAGCTGCAGCCCCGCTCCCCAAACCACCCTCAGCCCCTCTCAGCCCCTCGCTCTCCCCACCTGCCCCTCTGAACTGCCCCCCAGCACTGTGGAGGCAAGCACAGGGTGAAAATCAGGAAACCTGTGATAGGAGACAAGAGCTCCGTGTGGGAAGCAAAGGCCGCACAGGACAAACCAAACCAAGAGTTCACTCCCTCCTTCCGCCTGGTGCTCGCCATGCCCAGGGCAGGAGCTCAGCCTCCCCAGGGCAGCAGGGCCCATCACGGTCATGGTACCTTGGACAAAACCACTATTGCTCTGAGCATCCCCCATTCCTCCTTCTCCTCCCCTTTCCACTCTGGCGTGATGCCACATGGCCTGGGACACCTCTGGGGTCAGCTGGGGGTCCCATGTCCAGCTGTGTGTCCCGGCCCAGAGGAGCAGGATCCTCAGCTGAGTGCCAGCTGCCCTGCCAAACCTCCCTGAACGAGCACCGTGTTCACACAAACCCCAGCCCCTGCAGCCCCTCGCCCAGGACAGCTCCCTGGAGCTGGAACACGTCTCGCACACACCAACACTGCAGCCCTTACGGAAAACTGAATTTAATAAACACATCCAGCCCGTCCCAGCGTGCCCCTGGCCCTGAGGCAGCTGCAGCCCCACGCCAGCCTGTGAATCAGGTCACTGTGGGCTAAACCCAGCCCCATCCTGTGCCGCAGGGTCTGCCTGCCCTGGCCTGAGCACAGAGTGGAGCTGCTCCCGCGGGGCAGAGCCTGCCCTCGTCCCCATCTGGCAGCCCCCACGGCTCCTGGGCCCTCACGGCTCCCGCACGCGCACATAGGTGGTCCAGGGCCCACACACCACCTCCTCCACCCGCAGCCCCCTGGCCACCAGCTGCTCCACGCGGCGTGCCTGGTCAGAGCTGGTGTTGTCCCCGTGTCCCAGCTGTCCGTATTTACCTGCAGACACACAGCCGTGACATAACGTGGCCCTGGGGTCTCACAGGGAATTGCTCTGGTGTTTGTGGGGAGGGAGGGAGGGAACACAAGAGCCCCAGCACAGACAGAACTCGTACAGTGACAGGAGAGCCAAGGGCAAGAGAACAGGAACCAGAAGCTGCCGCTGGGGAGGTTGTACAGCCCCAAAGCAGAGGTGCCACTTACCCCAGCCCCAGGTGTAGAGCTCCCCGCCTCCTGCAACAGGGACAGCACCATCAGGCAGCACCCGGTGAGCTCCAGCCCCCACAGTCCTGCTGAGGTCCCGGTGAGCCCCGGCACCTCTCAGCACCCCTGCCCCGTGGGACACTCACGAGTGACAGCCGCTGTGTGTCGGGAGCCGCAGCTGACCGCGCTGACCTCCAGGTCCTGTGGCAGATCCAGCAGCGCTGGGAACGCCTGGATGGAGATGAACGCAGCATCCTGGGCAGCCAACTGCTCCCGGCAGGCCATCAGCTCGGTGCTCCCTGCAGAAGAGGCGACAGCAGCATTGCAGGCTGAACCGCACCGCACCGAGCTGCTGGGGCTGTGCAGGAACCCGGCCCCCTGCCCTCAGCCTGGGCAGCAGCACTCACCCGTGCCCGTGTCCTCATCTCGCGCTCGCTCCTCTGCCAGCGCTTTGGAGGGCAGAGCCAGCTGCCCCGACTCGTTCCAGCCCCACACGTACAGGTCTCCTGCCTCTGCGCGGCGGGGCAAAGCACACCAGGCAGAGCTGAGCCCTGGGCCGCGCTCGCTGGCAGCACCGGGCGCTCCAGGGACACCAAGAGCCCGCGCTCCCCGAGGCAGGCGCCGCCAGCACGGCCGGCTGGCAGCCCCAGCACGGCCCCTTACCGCTGACGCCGGCCGAATGCCACCCGCCGGCCGCCACCGCCCGCATGGGCACGCCGGCCAGCGCCTCCAGCAGCCGCGGCTGCGGCTCGGACTCCAGCAGCCCGTGGCCCAGCTGCCCGTGCCTGCAGGGACGCACAGGGCCCCGTCTTTAGGGAAAGTGACAGCTGTTGTGCGCAGCTGCATGTCGAGGGGCATGGGGGAGGAAAAGTTTTCACAGGAGTAACCACTGAAAGATACCGAGGGTACAGAGTGAGTGGGAGTACAGCATTCGAACCATGGGAAAGGAATGAATTCCTCCTGACTTAGACAACAAAGGTGCTTTCCCAGGGCATTCCCGAGATAGCTTTCTCACCCCTGAGCCCCGCAGAACACCACACCTACAACCCCCCAAAGCCTAGGATGCTGCATTCCAAAACCAGAAAGACTGATAAAAGACTAAGCAAGCCAACCTAGACCTCACAAAAAAACCTTTCTAAATTTGCCATTTCTTCAGAACAGCAACATTTTCTTTGTTTAGTATTATTCGTTTTTAATACTTGTGAATTCTTTGCTTATTAAATAAACAGGTATTTTCCACTTTTCTACGAAGAAATCTTTCTCCAAACCAATTTAGGGGAGGGGGCACTTGAATTTACTTTCTAAAAGAACCCCACTCAGAAATTTCCTCCCAAAATTTACCTAAACCAAAACAAATAGAAGAAGAAACACCTTTGCGAGAATAAACTGAGCAGTGCCACCAGCTGTTAAATGCACCCAAGTTCAGCTGCTGGCAGGCGACACAGGGTGCTGGGGCTGGAGGCTTTTCCCAAGGGGTTCCCTCCCCTCCCACAGGCTGCACCAGAGGGACCTGGCACTGTCACAGACCGATGGACTCAATCTCCAGTTCAGAAACACAGGGGCTCTGCTGCCACCTGGTGCTGTGCGGCAAGTTACAGAGGAGCAGGGACAGAGCAGGGACCCTGACGGTCCTACAGAGACCCAAGCGTCCTCGGAGACTGCCAAAAGTCAGGCCAGGAGCCAGAGTCAGCAGCCAGAGACCCAGCACCCAGAGAGGAGACAGGGCTGCCCATGGGGCCAGCGAGGGTGGACTCAGCGGGAAAGGGGCAAGGTGAGGCCAGCACCCCCCAAGAGAAACCACGATTTGGGATACCTGTGCTGGGGGGAGCCAGCTGTGGTGAGGGATGGATCCCATCAGCATGTGGGTGAACACTGGGCACCTGCAGCTGGTACCCCAATATGGTGGTACCCCAATATGGTGGTACCCCAATATGCTGGTACCCCAACACTTGTCCCAGCTGTAACGTAACATTCCCAAGCACACCCCACGGGAAAGTCAGGAGGCATATCCCGGCGCCAGGCAGTGTGTGCAGGCTAATGGGGGCTCAGCCCCCCCTTCCCACACCCCCTCACCTGCCCTCCCCTCAAAGGCTCTCCCATTCCCCACATCCCGTCTGCATCCCCGTCATTCTCTCTCCATCCCACCACAGCGCTTGTCCCGCAGTTCTGAAGGCCCACCCGCTGCCGTCCCTCTCCGGCACCCCTGCATCCCCACAGCCCCTGCTCACCTGCCACCGCCCCAGGTAAAGACCTCCCCGGCGGCGCCCAGCGCTAGGGCGTGCTCCGTGCCCAGCGCCAGCCGCCGGGCCCGCAGGCCGGCGGGCAGCGCGGTGAAGAACGGCGGCCGCGGCGTGGCGAAGCCGCCGGCTCGGCCCAGCCCGGCAGCCGCCGCCGCTGCCCCGCGCTCCGCACCTCCAGCCCCGCGCCTGCCGCGGCGGCAGCTCAGCGACCGGCGCTGGGGACAGCCCGGGGCACGGGACGGGGGACAGCCCGCGGGTCTGGGGGCACGGGACGGGAACGTCACCGGGGGACCAGCGAGGGGCATCCCGGGGGAACCGGAGCGGTGGGAGGACTGGGGGGGTCCCATCCCGGGGGAACCGGAGCGGTGGGAGGACTGGGGGGGTCCCATCCCGGGGGAAACGGAGCGGTGGGACGGCTGGGGGAGGGGTCCCATCCCGGGGGAACCGGCGTTCAAGGGAAGGGGCGGGCAAGACGAACCGACGCGACCGGCGCGGCAGCGCACGGTGGGAACGGGACCCGCCATCCCGGGGCGCGGCAAGGGGAAGCGGGCACGGGCGGGACGGGACCGGGGCTCCGGGCGCGCTCACCGGTCTCCACGACCACGTAGCTCCAGGCGGGCCACACGCGGGAGATGCCCTCGGGGCCCGCCTCCAGCCGCCACGGGCCCGGGCCCGGGCCCGGCTCCCCGGCCGCCTCTTCGGGGCTGAACCCGAACGCGAGCCAAACGCAAGCGGGCGCCGCCATGGCTGGGGCGGAACCGGGAGAGGAGGGAGCGGACGTGACGGCGGAGGGGCGGACGGACGGACGGACAGACGGACAGAGGCCGGGCCGTGGTCCAAGAGTAGCTTTAGTGTTACCGGGCGGCGGTCCCGCCCCGGCTCGGCCCTCCTGGCTAAGGCAGACGGTGGCAAAGGCGGCGGCAAGCCCTGTCCTCCCCTCGGCCCGGGGCACCGGGCGGCCCCGCCCCGGGCAGTGCTGAGCCAGCTCCGCGTGCAGCCGGGCCCGCCAGGGCCGCCCCGAGTCAGCGTGTGCGCGCCGGGCTGGGCAGCGTGTGCAGCGTGCGAGCGAGCGACCCCGCGGGGCTCAGGCGTGGCCAGGGCTGGGCTTGATGAGGCCGTAAGCCACTGCGTGTGCCAGGCTCTCCTGGGCAGCCTGGGCCACCCGCGGCTTGTCCTTGTCCTTGGCAAGCACGGAGAGGATCTCCAGCATCTCGCTGGCGATGAGCTGCTCGGCCACCTCCCGAGCAGCTGCCATCATGTTCATCACCACCACGGCGCCACGGTGCTGCAGCTCCGCGCTGGGGCTCAGCAGCAGGGCCTGCAGGATCTCCAGCCAGTGCACCGTCTGCAGGGGAGTGGGGCCAACATCATCACGGACCCCGAGAGAAGGGTCCCAGCTCCCCCGCTACAGCCCCATCCCAGAGCTGGGTCCAAGTCACAGCAGGCTGCCCTGTCTTCTGGGGCCAGAGCTCCAGGCCACCGCGGGGAGGGAATATGGGACACAGGGTGCTGTGTCAGGGCGCACTCACCACCTGGGGAATCCGCTTGCAGATGGCGGGATGCAGGCTAGTCAGCATGGCCAGGGTCCCCGAGGCTGCCCGCCGCAGCTTCTCGTCCTCCTCCCCACTGTACAGGACCATCAGCTTCAGCCGGTCGCTGCCCTCAGCCAGGAACATCTCCTGCACCTGCACAGGGGAAAGAGGAGGGCTCAGGGGGGTGTGGTGGTCCAGCAGCCCAGCACAGACCCCAGCCCATCCCAGCCTTCACCTCCTTGCTCATGGCCATGTTGCACATGCACTCAGTCGCGGCTAGCCGGATCAGCTCGTGCTCCTCGAACATGTACCCCTCAATCATGGGCACGGCCCGCTCTTTCAGGATCTTCTGCCTGCGAGGCAAGCGGGCAGTGAGCACTCCCTGCCAGGGCAGCCCGCCAGGCCCAGGGGGACAGCCAGGGGCCCTGCTCCCCCATCCCTACCGCAGCCTCTCGCTGATGCCAGCCAGGTTGGTCAAGGCCATCAGCCCCTCAAAGTTCTCCAGGCCCGTGCGCTGCAGGTGCAGGAGGCTGACCAGGGGCCGCACCACCTCATAGATCTGGGGAGACAGAACACACGGGACTGAGTCAATGCCCACTGCTGCTCCCACCTGAGCCCCTGCCTGGCAGACCCAGCCCCCAGCCCCAGCACTCACCCGCTCCCCAGGGAACGCCATCTCCGGGTTGGAGGTGATGGTGATCTTTGCTAGGGCCTGCGCTGCCTTGGTCTGCCCCACCTCAGTGCCCTCCAGGGACAGTGGGATCAGAGCCTGGGGGCAGAAACAGCAGCTTGTCCTGCAGCCAAGGCCACAGCACCCAGGGCAGCCACAGCTTTCCCCAGCCTCACGTCCAAGGGAGCCAGTGCAGCCCTGCTAAACCACAGAGCCCAGCTCGCCCCGGAGCAGGGCAGGGCAGAAGCACAGCAGGGTCCATGCTCTCACCTTGCCTCCTCCCTGAGCAACCACACCACCCCGGTCTTCTGCCTCCTCCACCAGTGCCAGGAACACTCTAGGGACCAAGAGGGACTAGTTCCAGCACTCAGACAGTCACAGTGGGCCCAGGCCGCACCAGACTCCTGCTGGACATCCTCCCTACTGTCCAGGAGCTGGCCTTCACCACAGGCACGTTAAGTTCACCAGCAGGATGCCAGCAGTCTGGGAAGCCAGCTCCCCGCTGTGCCCGGCACGCGCGCACCTGGAGATCAGCTCCCGGCAGGAGCTGGTGAGCGCCGGGTTCTCGCTCTTCACCATGCAGGCCAGGGCCGACACCACTCCAGCCACCAGCAGCTTCCGCACCCGCCGCTTCACGAACTCCGGCTTGTCCTGTCCACAGCCAGGGCCACGCTTGGCTCAGGAGCACCTGGTCAGGTGCCCGACCCCACCCTGTGGGCCTCAAGGACACCGTGTCCACACCTGGGACCCCAGGCTGTGTCCCACCCACCCGCTCTCCTCCTAAGCACGGCCATGCCCTGCTCACCTTGGGGTGCTGCTCCGGGATGTGCTGCTTGGCATACTTGGCCAGCTCCAGCATCTGTGGGTCCGGCTCCTCGTGGTCATAGCTGTTGGTACAGTTCACCAGCGTGGAGGCAACAGCATAGAGCACACTCCTGTCCTCTGACTGTGGCGACAGTGGGCACCCATCACACTCACAGCAGGGAGGAGCAGCCAGGACTGGAACCCACCCAGCCTCTCCCACACATCCCCCCCAGAGCATGAGCCCCACACCTGCTCCAGCACATTTCCCTGGTGCCAGGGTGTCCACCCCACAGCTCTTGCTATGCACCTTGGCCAGCTGGAACATGGCCTGCATTGCTGCCTTGTCCTCCACAAACTCCTCCTTGACATCTGCATCGAAGGTGAGGTAGGCCAGGCCCTCCACAGCCCAGCGCCGCGTGCCCGCATCGATCGCCTCGTTGCAGAGCCACCTGGGAGAGTGGTCCCTGAGCTGGCTGGGGGGCTGTGGCAGCCCAGCTGCAGGGAGCCCAGCTGTGAGGCACCCTGCCCACCCCCCACACCTGGCCCCGCTCACTTGCGGCACTGCTTGGCCAGCTTCATGGTGGATCCCTCGGCAAACTGCTTCATGCTGAAGTCCGTGCCTCCTGCAGACCCCAGCTTGCAGAGCCCCTGCAGCCAGGAACAGAGTGCGGGAGCAGGAATGGATGTAGGCCACCTGATGTGTCTCCTGGACCCACGGCAGTGGGGAGCAGCGCTGTGCTCCCACCCCACTGCCCACCCCAGGGCTCTGCCACACCCGGTGGCAGCGTGCTCACCACGAGGGCACGGATGCGGATGCTGTCCCTCTCGCTGTGCTTGTAGATCTCCTTGAGCAGGTTGACGCCGTTGGCCGTGATGAAGGAGGCGCGCTTGGCCTTGTCGGCCGCGTGGATCAGCGCCTCCACGGCCACCAGCTGGTGGGCCTCACACACAGAGGCACAGAGGGACAGCACGCTGTCCATGATCCCCTCCAGCTCCAGCACCCTGTTCCCTGCATCCGAGGGACCCTGCAGCAGGCACGACACTGTCTGAATGGCCCGCAGCTTTCCCGGCAGCTCGTGCCCCTCGAACCAGCTCCTTCAGGGAAAGACCACCAGAAAGGGTCAGGATGATCCACCTGCTCCTTCCTGCCCCACCTGCTGAACCTCCCCCACGGCAGGTCCCCACTCAAAAGCCCCATCACTCCCAGGACACCCTGGCTCACCTCACATAGTCCTCACACAGACGGTGGAAGTTTTCCCTCTCGGCATCACACTTCAGGTCCTCATACAGTTTGCTGAGCAGAACAGAGGTGCTCATCCGGCTGTTCTCTGTCACGGGCAGGCTGCCCAAGCTGCCACACACTGTGCTGCCCACCTCCAGGATTTTCTTCAGGCCTGGGAAAGGTCAGACAGCCCAGTGAGGGGCGCAGTGGCATGTGCAGAGCTGGGGCAGTGGAGCACAATGCCCCAGCAGGACAGTGCTAGTCATTCCACTAACCCTGATCAATCACCCAGAGGCTCAGACTGTTGTTGGTCTCCTTTGGTGACTTCCTGGGCACCACCTTGATGAGCAGGTTGAGGGCGTTGTCACGGCCATGCGCTGAGGCCCCTTCCAGCACTAGCAGCTCCAGGAGGTGCTTGATCAGCAATTTCAGGTCCCTGGAGGAATCTTCCAAAAAAGACAGTCCCCAGCAGTCAGCACCCTGGGCATGGCCTCACCCCCACCGTGGCACAGCTGGCAGAGATGCCGCCATGACCAGGGGCTTCGGCCTCCTGTTAACCCTGGATCAGAGCCCAGCTTTGCTGCAGGGAGCAGTGACAGGGCAGCAGCAAAAAACCCTATGGCACCTCTGCACCTACCTGGGGCTCTCCCTGTACAACAGCCAGCCAGGGCAGCCATACTCACCCAGCACCACTGCATCCTCCTTCCCGCGGAAGTCTTTCTGCAGCCCCTCCTTCAGGGAGTCGAACATCACGTGCAGCAGGTTGCAGGCAGCCAGGGACACCTGCTCGTGCTCCACACCCAACACCGCCGCAAGACGGGGAGCCCCCAGCTCCGCCAAGATGGCCGTGGTCTGCAGGTGCAGGCACACCTGTCTTCCAGAGGCCTTGGGCAAGCCTCGCCATTCCCCAGCCCCTTATCACGATGGTTTCCTCTCACAAGGTCAGGCCTGGCAGGTGAGCTCAGAGCTCCCCTGTGTGAGCCTTTGTAGCCTGCCCAGCATGGCTTTCCCCGGGGCCCAGGGGATGGTGGGGCAGGGGGGGACCTACCCGCGAGCGGTGGCCGGAGCACAGCCCCACCAGCGTGCGCAGGGCTGCCAGCATCAGGTCAGCCTTGGCCGTGTCCAGCAGCTGCAGCAGCAGCCGCACACCGTCACTCTGGAAGATTTTCTCTGCTCCAGCTTCTTCTCGTGCCAGCACAATCAAGTTCTGCGCAGCCTGGGAGAGGAGAGTTCTGCCTGGGTCACAGCAGCACACTGCACAAGGAACTGCTAGCAGCTGCACGCACCCACCCTCCACCCCTGTCCTGGGGAGCATTCTGTGGGCGGCGAGCCCGGCCTGCCCAGGCAGCACCACTCAGTCACTTGCTGGCCAGCAGCAACAGAACAATCCCCCCCTCCTCTCCTCCCAGCCACAGCACTGTGCCCCACTCCCTGAGCTCAGACTTTCTGCTTCTTTTCCGCATCTTTTTCTTCGAGATCCAGCAAGATCTGGAACATCTGCTCTACTTTCGAGTCCGTGCAGGACATGGCCTTCATCTGCAACAGAGCAGAAAGAGCGGCTCAGTCCTCCCCACCTTCCCCGGCCACGCACAGCCACAGCGGGCTGCAGCCCCCCCTGCGCCCTGCTGACCTTCTCGTGCATGCTGCTGCCCAGGGCACGCAGGGCCTCGTGGAAGGCCTTGTTCCTGGGCTCCAGGCTGACGCAGCGCTGCAGGTCGCTGACGGCCTGGTCCAGGCGGCCCAGCTGCTGCAGCGCCTGGCTGCGGCGGAACAGCGCCTTCACGTCCCGGCCATCAGCCTCGATGGCTGCGCACAGGGGTCAGTCACAGCGCCCGCGGCCCGGCCCCTGCCCCACGGGCAGCACAGAGGCTGCTCCCCCCCGCCCCACACACAGTACCTTTAGTGGCATCAGCCTCTGCCTTGGTGTAATCCTCCTGTGGAGAGACAGGAGAGAAAAATGCCTGAGCACTGCTGGCACAAGCCCCACGCACCCCGCACCCCTGACTTTGGGGCCTGGGGATGGGATGGGAACAGCATCCCTGGAGACAGTGAGCCAGCACACTGGGACACCCTGTCCTTCCCAGAATAAAACCCTCAGAGAGCGTCCAGGGAGCTCTACAGCTCCCGGTGCTTTTCAGGCACTTCTGCTCTACTCAAGCCCCTAAAGTTCCTCGTGTTCACCCCCTGCCCCAGACACAGATTCCCTGCAAGAGACCAGACACTGTGACTGCTTGGGAACAGCCCCAGCAGGCCGGGCAGGCTCCGGCAGGCCGCGGGGCCGCCCCCGCCCAGCGCTCACCAGCTTCAGGTAACACGCGGCCCGGTTCCGGTGCAGCACGGCGCGCTCCGACACGGCGTCGCTCAGGCTCAAAGCCTCCGTGTAGGCAGCGAGGGCGGCTGCGGGATCCCCCGCCTGGAACAGCGCGTTACCCCGCGCCCGAAGCTGCTCCGCCGTCACCTGCCGAGGAGCACCGGCTGGGACACAGCCCTGGGCCCGCACGGACCGGGACAGGGATACAGGGATCCCCGGGACAGGGATACAGGGATCCCTCGGACAGGGACACGCCGGGACAGGGACCCCCCCCCCGGGACAGGGACCCCCGCGACAGGGACCCCTCCGGGACTGGGACCCCCGAGACAGAGTCCCCCCGGGCACAAGGACCCGCCCATCCCGGTCCCGCCCGGCTCCGCTCACCGGCTCCTCCATCGCGCCGCGCCCGTGACGTCACCGCCGATCGCCGGGGGAACCCTGACGCCACCGCCCTTGTCACGTGACGGGGCGCGGCAGGAGGCGGGCGAGGCCGAGCGTGCAGCGCCGCCCCGCGGCCCGGCGGTGCCAGCGCCGACCGCGGCAGCCTCCTGTGTGACCCGCGTGTCCCCCGCACCCTCCCGCCGCACCCCGGAGAGCGAGTGTCCCCGGTACCGCCCCGGTACTGACCCCAGAGAGCGTGTCCCCCCGTACCGCCCCCTACGAACCCCAGAGAGTGAGTGTCCCCGGTACAGCCCCCTACGAACCCCGGAGAGCGTGTCCCCCCGTACCGCCCCCTACGAACCCCGGAGAGCGAGTGTCCCCCCTACTAACCCCCTACGAACCCCAGAGAGCGAGTGTCCCCCCGTACTAATCCCGTACTAACCCCGTACGAACCCCGGAGAGCGGGTGTCCCCCCGTGCTGCACCCCGGGATGTGAGTCCCCCCATGTCCCGCGGCACCCCCGTGCCAGCCCCCCGTGTCCCCCTGCCCTGCCCGTGGCCGCCCCTCAGCAGCCCTGGCTGGGGCGCGTCAGTCCGGGGGCACGGCGGGAGGGCCGGCTGCGGGCCGGGTGTCCCCGCGGGGCTCCGCGGGGCCCGCGACAGGCACGGGGCAGCAGGCGGCTCAGGTGGCACCGTCGGGTCCAGCAGAAGTGGCAGAGGTCGACGGCCATAAGCAGGAGGACAAGGAGCCCATAGAGCCCCACGAAAGGCAGGGCCAGCGGGTTCCTGCGGGGTGCGGCACTTCAGGAGGGGGCAGCCGTGACCCTCCCGGCGCAGCGGTGCTGGGGAGGGCCCCAGAGGATACCACAGCCCCTGCCCCAGCAGCCAGCAGAAGCCCCTGGGGTGTGCCAGGAACCCCAGGGCCCCCTTCCTCAGCAGCACAGCCAGCTGCAGCCCTGCTCACCGGAGCAGACCGGGGCTAGCCAGGCTGGAGAGGTTCACTCCAGTGAGGGCTTCCAGCGCCAGCTGAGAGCAGCAGAACTTGAGGGCGTCCAGGCTGGGCTGGCAGCAGTAGCGGTGGCCGGGGGGGTCCGTCAGCCGCGGGCAGTAGAAGCCGGGGTGGGAGCGGCCATCAGGGCCCACGTAGCCCTCGCAGAGGTGCAGGTTCTGCACCAGGACTGCAGCGGGGAGCAGGGCATTGCAGAGGGCGGGGAACAAGTCCCCACTGCGGGGACCACGGAAACTGTGCAGGGCCTGTAGGACAGGCTGCCAGCCCCAGCGACACGGTCTGTCAGCAGGGCTGGGCTGGGCTCAGGGCTCACCGGAGCCTGGCTCACAGGGTACAAGGCAGCCCGGCTCAGCCCGCAGAGTGGGCTACACCCCACGAGGCAGCAGTGGCTGAGCAGAGCTCCCCCTGGCACCGCCCTGTGCACGCCGTGACCTCCAGTGCTCACCAACGTGGGCAGCAAGGGCGGTGATGGTGGCAGAGAGGAGGGGAAAGCGCCCAGGACATCAGGTCAGCCCCCAGCCCCCTGCTGAACCCCCTCCCTACGTCCCCTGTGGGGACAGCACTTGGACCCCACAGATGTGCTGCAGTGGGAGTAACCCCAGCACCACCACACCTGGGCCACCGTCCCCAGTATGGAGCACCACCTCTCACTGCAGACCCCTGCCTCCCAGCACACGCCCCCACCTCCGTTCCGGGCTGTCGGGGAGCAACCCTCAAGGGACAAGGCCCCATCAGGGCCGGGTTCAGGCACAGGAGGGGCGGGAATGGGGCTGTACCTGTCCCAAAGATGCTGGGGAACAGAGCCACGGTAAGGAGCAGCTGGAGCAGGTGCCCATGCAGCATCTTCCCGGCCAGCCCTGGGCAGAGGCAGTTCTGGCTCCAGTGGAGGCAGAAACCACAGCCCCTCCTGCTCCCGCCTCCATCGCAGCCTCCACCAAGAGCCGCTCAGAGCCATTAGAGCCTCCTGCACTCCTCTGTCCACAGGGACCGGGCTGGAGGCGGGAGCATCAGTAATGAGCTTCTGGGGCCAGGAGTAGGATGGCAGGCTCCTTTCCCAGCTGGATGCAAGGCACCAGCTGCCGTGTGCAGGGCCCCAGTTGGGCACCTGGACCCATCCTGGGAGTCCTTGAAAGGACATTGGACCAGGCCAGGGCACAGGGCAAGCACTGCGAGGTGCTTAGCTTCTAGGGGCCAAACCCTTGGGATGTGGATGTGCTGGGGGTTGTGCAGGAATTGTGGAATCACAGAATCATTTAGGTTGGAAAAGACCTCTAAGCTCATCCAGTCCAACCCAACCAAGCCAGAGCTGAGGCAGTTCCCCACCTCACCCAGTCCTTCCCAATGCCCTCCCTGCTGGAACCTGTTGGCAGTAAGTAGCCCCAGGGGAGCAGGAAGTATGGCCTATGGTTGCCACAGCAACCAGGAGGATGCTCTGGTGACACGCTGTAATTAGCTGCGACTCAGCCACTGCAGCTCCAGCAGAGCAGACCACCAGGCTCACTCTGAAAAGGGGCTAAACACTCTGGGTTTGGGGGAGGCTTCACCCAGGCACTGCTGCCTGCACAAGGAACTGACTCCCATCCCCTGGCTCCTGCCCAGCACCAGGCACTGCCTGTCCCAAAGCACAGCTGGGCCTGGCCATGCCACCAGCCTCTCACAGGTGCCAGGGGCTCCTGGCCAGATCTTCAAGCTGGCCTCTACCTGCCTCAGAGTGCTGCCCTGTCTCCCCACGGCACACCATTCCCACTCTGCTGAGTGAGAGCCACAAACCACACATACACCACGGCCCTTGGAAACAGCCTTGTGTTTCCTGTGAGCTCCAGGAGAGGTCAGTCCCAAGTCCACAGCATTCCCCCAGGCAGCTGCCCAACACCACTGGTGCTCCTGGCCTCCCCTTGCTGCCCCGGCAGTCAGGGGGAGCCCTGCATGAGCCCCTGCCCCAGCCATCAGCGTGGCCACCCTCCTGGGCAGCCTGCCTGCGGCAGGGCAGGGTGTCTGTCCCACCAGCAGCAGCAGAGCCCAGCCTGCAGCCCTCCCCAGCCGTGCTCGGCCCATCAGGCACCGTGCCCAGCAACGTCTGGTCCAGCCCTGCCACAGCAGTTCATTCCAAAATCTATCTGAGAACATGGAACTAATAAATTAGAAAATGGCAGCAGCAGCCTCTGCCAGTCTGGCCCCTCCTGCCCGTGCCCGCCACAGTACTGCTGGCCCCACTCCACTGCTGCACTGGTGCTGCTCCTCTGCTGTCCAGCCGCTCCACTCCTCTCCTGCTGGACGCTACCCCAGGCGGATGCGGAACGTGGCAATTTCCATGGGGTCCAGGTGGATGTTGGTGCTGTTGGAGGCTGTGCCCAGTGGGTACATCAGTGTCAATGAGGTGGGCTGCAGGGAGCCCAGCTCCAACCCCTGGAACAGGCCTCCCAGAGCCAGCTGGGGAGAGAGGAGGAAGAAGCGGGGAGGCCCAGGTGAGGATGTGATGCCTGGGGCAGCACTGTGCCCAGGACAGCCTGACACGTGCCATGACTGCCATGCCGAGGTCCCAGCCCAGCTCTGAGCCAGCGGAGGTGTGGGGGCAGCCTGGCCCTACCTTGCCCTGGCTGGTAGTGCAGTTGAAGCCCAGGTTCTTGGCCTCGAGGCTGCAGTCAAAGCCTTTGCGGTGCAGGATCAGTGCTGCCTCAGCTGATGGTAGCGAGTCATCCTGCAGGGAGCTGGAGTGTGAGGCACAACACTGGGGGCAGCAGGGACAAGACCCCCACCAGAGTCCCACCGCCCCGGGCCGTAGCTCACCTCGGCCTGCAGCGTCCGCAGGTTGAGGATGTGGAAGTCGCAAGGAAGGGTGGTGGCAAGGGGCACAAAGGAGCGCAGGGCTGGCAGGGCTGGCTTCTCCAATGCCACTGGCATGACCAAGGCCTCAGCATTCTGGTGCACAGAGGTGATGTGGCTCAGCAGGGAGGGGAAGCTGATGGGGCGCTCATCCTGCACCTGCCAAACAGCACATGGGTCAAGTGTGAGCCCAGGAAGCCAGGCAGAGCCTGGGCAAGGCCCAAAGAACCTCCATTCCAGCAGTGCCTTGAGAGCGGGCACCCGCCAGCACAGTGCACACAGAGCTGCCCTGCCCAGGCAGGTCCCCCCGCCCCAGCACCCAAACAGGACCCGGCTAGCTGATGGTCAGGCTACAGACCTGCTACAAGCCTGGCTAGACTAGTGGCTAGCAGCTAGTGCACAAGACAGGGAGAGACAGCAGGGCCAGGCTGGCCATTACCTCAGGGCTGCCAGTCCTGGTGCCAGGGAAGCTCAAGGCTTTAAACATGGAGACCAGTTTGGAAAAGAAGCCGGAGCTCTGGATGGCACAGCACACGCATAGAGGGCAGCGAGGGGATTGGACAAGAACACTGTGATTACGAGGGAAACGTGGCTCCACAGGGACAGACCCCACTGCACGTCCTGCTCTCCCCATGCCCCCTGCTCCAGGCCCATCCCTGCCCAGTGCCAGCACAACGGGACAAGAGGGGAGAGGACACCGCATCCCATCACCAGCGGCTTTCTGCAAATGCCTCCACCCTGCTCCATCCCAAGGCAGGGCTGGGCTCTCCCGTCCTGCTGCCTCACAGCCAGCACCTTGTTGGCAGTGCTGCGGCGCTCCAGCAGGAGCCGGAACCGGTTGCAGGTGCGCTTGTTGTCCTTCAGCCCCTGGCCCAGGCCCCGGTTGTCATCCTGCATGAGGCGCCGGTCCAGGATCACCTCCAGCTGGCCTGTGGAGAACAAGTCCCTGCAGCCCGGGCTTTACCTGCCACCAGGCGCCAGCCACACCCCACAGCACAGAGCCCCGTGACAGCAGGACCAGGGCACCCTGCCCAGCCTGCAGCACCCTCCTCCCCTGCTTCCCTTGGGGAGGACAGCCCTAGCTCCACAGCAGGTCCCCAAGGCACAGACCCCAGCTCACCGCTGTGGAGGCTGGAGACACCCAGGGCCTGGGCTGTGAGCAGTGTCAGGCGGCTCTGCATGTCCTGGATGTAGGCCATGGCAGGCATCGGGTAGAAGTTGGCCTGCAGAGGCAACTTCTGCTGGTACCTGCGGGGCTGGATCTGCCAAGGGACGGAGATCAGTGGCCAGAGGTGGATCCCACAGTGCCTGGTGCCAGAGCACTGTCCCCCTGTGGGCAGCTGCTGTCCCTCCCTAGCCTGCTGCATACCTGGAAACCATTGAGGTCTGTGAAGAAGGTGTTTTCACTCTCAATGTCAGTGCTAAAGCGCAGGGCCAGCTCCTTGTTGATGTGGTCACGGATGTCCACCAGACAGGACACATCCAGGGACAGACCCTCTACCCCTGTGGGTAGGCAGTGAAGGGTTGAGCCCCAAGGGCAGCATGGCCCAGTTCCCCGGGCCAGCAACACCTGGCACAGCCTCAAGATCTCACCTGGTACATTGTACAGCCGCACTACGGTCTGGACATGCTGGTAGTAGCTGGCAACCTCTGAGAAGAGGGGTCCCTCCATCACCCGCACCACTGGGGGGTCCTTGGGAGCATAGGGCTGGGGAGAGGAATAGCTGCAGTGACACTGCTGCCTGAGGACAGTCCTACAGGCACAGCTGTCAGCTGGCTTCCACAGGTGGACCCTGTACCTTGGCCTCGCCGTCAGGCAGGAAGAGATAGGCCCCACTTTTGTCCTTGGAGGTCCGGGTGCCATAGACGAGAAATTCGCTGCTCACCCTGTGCCCCTGCTCCTCCCCAGCCAGGCGCAGGCTCTGCAGGTGTGTGCCGGCACAGCAGTAAGCGCATGAAGCAGCGGGATGTCCCCCTCCCCTCCTCCACCCCCCGCCCTGTCGGAGCCCTGCACTCACCTGCAGCAGGCCCGTGCGCCCCAAGAAGCAGGCCTGCAGGTGCTGGTTCTCCAGGCAGAAGTCATCAGCAGCAGCCGGGAAGACACGCAGGGGCACAGCCTCGGGCTTGCTCACGGACACGTCCCGGCCGTGCAGGTACAGGCGCGTGGAGGACCTTGGTGTGGCGTGGCCATCCAAGGACTTGTGCAGCTGCAGCACACGCAGCCCCAGCGCAGGCAGGCGGGCCAGGACAGACACCTGCAGGCAGCATGGGGACCTGAGCCAGCCCCCCTGTCTAGGGAATGACTGGGGGTCAGTGGGGCAAAGACCCTGCTCAGCGCTGCGGGGCCTCTGCTGAGGAGGGACACGCATGGGGACCTGGGGGTTCGGCAGCTGTGGGATCTCGTGTTGTGGGGCAGAGACAGAGCAGGGCTGCCGCTGTGTCCGGGCAGCGTGCAGGATGGGAGGCTGGCACAGATGGG